TATATATATATATATATATATATATATATATATAATCATACATTAAAACAGGGATGTACAAATCCCAGGAGCCCTGTAGCCCATGCTCCTTAACAATGACCGCTGCCTCCCTAATTTTCAGTATTATTAAACGCACAGCTTTTTTGGGTAATCTATAGGTTGAACTCGATGGACTTTTGTCTCTCTCTTCAACCTGACTAATTACATAATTTTGAGTGCCAGGGTATTTGCTCAGGCACCTCCTGTTATAGGGTGACAACGCCCTGTCCCTGTTTTCCAGCTGTACTCCTGTGTTGTCACCCTATGACACGGGTATCTACTTTTTTTCAGCACACATTACACATCTATACTACGTCCTACTCTGCCATTTGCAAAAGTATCTGCTCTGCGTGCAGGGCTGTACTTGCTCTGAAAGTTTCAGATCCCATCCCAGCAGCTAAAGACAACTTCCTCTATTCATAGAGGCAATTGGATTTGAGAAGAAATCCGTGTTGTATATAATCAATGTTGTATACCATCTGCATTGAGTCTGAAGTCGATTTCAAAGACTATTTTCTGTATTTGTAAATCTGCAGCTTTCATTCAAATGATCCCTGATGATCCTGCCATGGAGGTCCTTGTTCAGGCGCTTCCTGTTATAAAGTGTCACTGTCTCCTGTGTTGTCACCTTGTCATACAGGCTGTGTGGGGTCTATGGTGGGCAGTGCAAGGTCTAAGGTGTGCTCTGCACGGTCTATGGTGGGCTGTGCAAGGTCTAAGGTGGGCTCTGCGGGGTCTTTGGTGAGCGCTGCAGTGTCTATGGTGGGCGCTGCGGGGTCTATGGTGAGCGCTGCAGTGTCTATGGTTGGCGCTGTGGGGTCTATGGTGGGCGCTGCAGGGACTCAGATGGGCTTTGTAAGGTCTATGGTGGGTTGTACAGGGTCTATGGCGGTTTCAGCCTGAGACCCGGCAGAGCCCACTAGAGATCCTTTACAGCCCACCTGAGACCCCGGCTTCCCTGCTACACTAATAGCACAACCTGTCAGAAGCTGTATCCAGCGACTGACAAGTTATGCAAAATGTCTTAAACAGGAAGGGGTGGAACAAATTTAGAGCACTATTTGTGCAGATCGCACTGGACCGACCGCGGGGTGTGTGGTTGCGGTGCCATTGACTTCAATGCACCGCCACGCCCCCTCCTGCCCCTGAACGCAGAGAGCCGGCCAGCTTGCGTTACAGAGGCAGAATGCTCTGGAACGCAGACTTTGTGGTGTGAGCCGGCCCTCAAGCAGGATGAAAAGATGGCTGCCGTCAATAGTCAACAAAAGAAAAAAAATTGGCCAGTGTCAAAAAAATACGGCATTGATCATAAGAGGAGTAAAATGTCTGACATCAGCGGTTGAAAAAAATGGCAGAGCCATGATGCTAAGTGGGGGAGAGAGGGGACATTAATGCTAAGTGGGGGAGAGGGGGGAC